ATGTATAAAATGAACAAATCGAAGATGTCAGTTTGCTATAGTAAAAGTACCTTCAATATGGAATATAATCGCCTCTAGAAGCAATACAGCACATTCAGCGATGTGTGATGCTTTCAATTATGCGGTCTATCAGTTCCATAGGAAGCGAGAAACATTGCTCTTGCAAAGCAGTTGCAAGCATGGCAAGGGTATAAGGGGGCAGATTGAGAGCAGCTAAACGTCTCCCTAAAGCATCCCAAACGTGCTCGATAGGATTCAAGTCCGGGGATCGAGCTGACCACTCCACGCGCATAATAGTTTCCTGTTGAAGATAATCATATACGATGCGAGCCCTGTGTGGCCTTGCATTGTCGTCCTGTAACAGGAAAGCATAACCTATTACCCTGGCATATGGGCGCACATAAGCATCAAGGATGTCATCTCTATAAACATGAGCATTCACGGTTCCCCTTCGAAAAACATGTAGGTCTGTGCATCCACCCAAAGAGATGCCACCCCAAAGACAGACACTGCCTCTTCTGTATGCATCTCTTTCACGGATGTTTGACGGACGATAACGGGTTCCAGGTTCTTTTCATATGAAATAATGTGTACTATTGCATTCTAGACTAAACCTGGACTCATCCATAAAGAAAATAGCCCTTTATTGCTCAGGCGTCCAGTGGACAAGCTGTCGTGCCCACTACAAACAGCCCCCCCTATGGCGTTATTTGAGCAGCATGCAAATGGTTGTTCACCTCACATACAGACCACCTTCGTGAAGCCTTCTACACACGGTTGATGTTGACACCAACCTTCCGGTGGCTGCAGCAAGGGAGGATCTAAGAAGAGTCGAAGTAGCAGTTCTATTCCTGAGTGCACATAATGTCAAATATCGGTCATTGGCGCTCGTCGTAGCAGTTGGTCGTCCTCGGCTGAACCTCCTAGGCGCCGAATCTGTGATTTGAAATTGCCTCACACAGAAGGACTAGCATTTAGCCACCTGGCAATAAACTGTCAGCACTATCCTTATCTTCAGGGCAGATGTTTTTATTTTGTTCGGCTTATATTTCCTTACTAAATGCAGTATTTCATCTCGATGTACTCCGTCTTTGATATGATTTAAATCAAATTCCTTGTCATTATAAATATCATGAATACACATCAAATAGTTTTCTGGTTGCAATTTTCTAATTTTGACTATGTGTAATGAATGCTTTACGCATGTGCGCGTTGAATAAATGTTTAATAAAGTAAACAAATATTAAGCTTTTTTTTTTTTTTTTGGTAAATTTTGATAACCTTTAGATTATAATTGCTCTTTATTTCATAAATTACGGTTTCATATTTTTAATTTTATAATTTCTGCATTCCATCTTACCAGATTTAAACTGATGATTTATAATCCAGGAAAACCGATAATACGGAATCGCCGAAGTCCCAAAGAGTCCGGATTAAAGACTTTTGACTGTATTAAGGTTTTTTTTTTTGTTAATTTTGATACCCTTTAGATAATAATTGCTCTTTATTTCATAAATTATGGTTTCATATTTTTAATTTTATAATTTCTGCATGCCATCTTACCAGATTTAAATTGATGATAGATAATCCGGAATCACTGAAGTCCCGACGAGTCCGGATTAAAGACTTTTGACTGTATATATACAGTCTTTTGGCTCAAGCAGACTTTCTAATTCTTAAGTTTTGTTCATAGCTTATTTAACTGGAAGCAAAATTACTAATTTGATCCTTACCTGGAAAAAAGATGAAACACTCTCACTTAATTTGGTTATTGTTAATTGATAGTGGATTGGTTTGTTTCCCTTGACAAGTCAATTAATCTACTTTAAATAACAATAGCTACCTTTTCAGTACTTTATATTTTACATTTTACTTTTACTTTTTTAGAATTCTTATGGTTCAAAATATTATTCCTTTACAGTTTTTAAAAAATTTTTCAATATAATAGAAACCTAATAATTTATAATTAAATAAACAAATTAAAAATACAGATTAAAATTTATTCAAATAATTCATCACTTTAATTAAATTTATATTTCTTGGGGACGATATAAGAAAAACCTTTTCTAATAATATATATATATGTTAAAAAATTAGTTTCTTCCATTTCTTCCAGCTTGTTTTTTTCACATTAGAAGAAACTTGCCAACTCTGATACAAATCATGAGAAATTTCAGGAACAATAGGTTACATGTTGTAAATTAGGTTGGAAGGTACATGTTTGAAAATCAGAAGAACTCACACCTTTTGTTATTAACCAAAATGTGGTAGACACTGATTTCACTAATTACACTAGTCAAGTAAATATAGCTAGCTGCATATGAAATAAACATAGTAATTATTCTTAAAAAGTAACACCATTTCTAAACACAACGAATAGCACATAATTTTAAAAATAATAGAACTAGAAATACACTGCTTTACAGATTTAAAATATCAGCATTACTTGAAAATATGCTGATATTTTAAATCTAATAAAAAAGAATGTCTCAAAAAATGCTCGACTTTAGCACTAAGCCATATAAAACACTTACAACAGTTAAGGGAATATAAGCAAATATTACTAAGATAAATAACTATACCCATTTTCTCAGCTGACAGATTATCTTCATGCATTTTCAATACATGTAAGAGGCACATAAGACCCACATATTATTTATTTCATATTATTTATTTATTTTGCCTTCCAATCATCATCATAGGTCATCTTTTTTTTTCCCCCAGTATGAAGGTATGCTCTTAGTTTTCCTTCTCAAGTATAGAAAATAATAAATGCAGAGTGGTTGCACCTGAAATAACAGGAATACCGTATTCATAAGTTCTTCAAATACTATGTGATGTAATATTTGGAAGAACTGTTTTTCAGTAACTGTATTATTCTGATTTCTTTTAAACTCAAAATCATATTCAGTGAAAGAGGTGGAAGTAAAGAAAGTGAAGTAAGTTCATAATAATGTACCGCAGAGGGCTAGTCTTTGAAATTTTGTCGCCCATGCAATAATATATTTCATTTCTCCCTTGGCCAATTAAATATACATTACCTAATTCATTAACTGATAAAACATTCAAACTTTATAATCATTTATGAAATTTAAACTGAGATTTACTGCATTAAAATGCTTTATTAAAGCCTCTTAAATCAACAGCCTTCACAATTACATTTACACATAGTCAAAAAATTCTCAACAGTCAATAACATTTCCACAATATCATATGATCAGTTTACATTAGATCAAATAGTCTGCCAATATTTATCTATCAAAATCCAAAGTTCAAATATAGCATTAAAGTGCAAATTAAAATGCTTCAATACTTTTATTCATCAAGAAATTTATACTCGAATGAAATGGTCTCAGTTAACATTTCATAAATAATTATAAAGCTTGAATATTTTTCTTTTATGAAAAGTAATAATGAAGAAAGGAATTAAGCCAATATTTTTCTGCAAGCCATGTATTACATATCAAGGAGCTCATAATGTCAATGAGCTCATGATACCTAACTATGCAGACAGTCCTTAAGGTACAAAATCTACACTCATCATCAGTTGCATAATCATAATAATTTTGAGCTCAAAAAATACTACGCTGACGCTTACCTTTTTGCAAATAATTGTTTAATAAAATAAATGTTTACAATTAACATTTAAATTAAAATGAGTGTGGAGGAATAAAATGGGAAGGAAAGCATATATATTTGAAAAAATGTGTTGACAGTTTGATGAAAGATTTATAGAAAATAAAATAACACAAATTTGATACAGAGGAATGAAATGGTATAAATAATACATTAATGCTGAAATAAATATATTAATAAAAAAAGAGAAAAACATATAAGTTCTATCATCTAATTATTTACTTAAAAGAATCAAGAAAATATTAATTTTACAGGTTCCTTTTCTTTTTTATGACAGCATGGATTTTAAATTCACTGTATGTTTTGTCTGATTACGTTTCATAACTGACAATTAAATTTTACTCTCCTAGATTACCGCAGGTGTAAAAATCAATATCGTTATTACTACATATGATCAATTGGTTAAATTAGGTGAAATTTTACCCTTTGACACAAAGAATTTGCCATTCATACTTAAGTGTCACTAATTTGTATTATTTGTCAATCATTTCTTAGAACAGCCTGTTAAAAACCGGTGCTTACTTCACTAACATAAATTGATCATACATAAGTTGTTGAGGCTTATTTCACTTGTCAGACAATCAGATCAAGTCCATGAGTTTGTGAGACCTAAGACATTCCAGAATCAAATGGCTGAAGCAAATTTGGTCTTTAAGTCTGCCAGTGCATGAGAGAACATGTGAAGCAATGGTGTGAAGAGTCCCCCAAAGTCCTGTTATGCTGCCTCATCATGGCAAGGGGCAGAATAGCTACAATACATCAGAAGCCTAGCTTCTAGCAGGATCAATTTAGGCATGACAGCTTAAAAGCACAGCAGACAAAGCCAGATTTCATCCTCTGGAACCCAAGATCTACTGAAGCTGCATTTACTTCTCACTACCATGACTCAAAAGATACATAGATCATAATTGCTCTAATGTGTAATAAAACTTTCTATAATCTGCATTATATTGAGTCTAAGGTACACAGTACTCGATTCAAGCAAGATATTTTAAATGTTCAGAAGTTTTTTTTAAAAAATCAAAAAAGTAAAATTTACAATAAAAATCAGATGTCAGTTTTGAGAAAGATGTAAAGAGAATGCAGTATAAATATTTTTAATAACTTAGTTTCTCAGAATATTTTAAACCTGAAATGCCTAGCATTTCCTTTTCTAAATGTTTCAAACTTGCAAGCCATTAATTATATGGACATTCTTCTAAAAATAAAAGGAGATAAAACAGTTTTACAGGTTTAATTACTAATCTTTATAGAAAGCTGCATCATTTTTTACATTTATATAATTGGTAAAATTATATGATTACCTAAAGCTGATATAAGATTTTGAAATAAAAATAAATAAAGAATATAAATTAGGAATTTACCTCTTTAATAATGTATAAGCTTCTTGCTTATCAATCTTCACACCAAACCGTGCAAAAGCGCTCACTATCTCATCGGCATCAATAATGCCTAATGAATCAAAAATTCAGCTTTACAATTCATAAAATAATTTTTATTAAAAATAAATTCATAAGTATTGAAATTTTACAAACCATCACTATTTTCATCCATGTATTTGAACAAAGCCATCAAGTGATGTTCAGATTCCTGAATGAAGTGAAAAAAGTCATCAAAATTCAGTGAGCCCTTTTTCTCCACGTGACTCTACAAAATAAAAGTAGAAAAAAATTACTTAATAAAACATTGTAACAAAACATTTTTTAATAATTTTCCAAACAAGGAAGAAAACAGGAATCTTTCATATACATATGGATGTTGTGGTACAAATAATAATAATAAACTTAAAATTCTTGGAATACTAGTTATAATATCTTGCAGAAACTGTAATATTATAACTCTTTTTACTCAGCTAAATATTGACTTTTGGAAATAATTCTAACTGACACCATGCAGCTTCAAATTTAACATAGCATCCCAAACTTTCCAAGATGTGTTAGATAGTGAATAACTTCATTTTAGATAATCTTTACTGGTGGTACTATTAGTAATTCTTATTATTAATAAGTGAAAATTTGATAAAATATTTAGAAATGAAGATTTTAATATATGGTAAACAAGCTAGTTAACAAATTTCAAAATGTTGACTAACAACAAAATATGCAGAAACATTATCAAATGGCTGTAATACTGCTTTCTTTAAAAAATAAATAAATAAAAAGGAAGGAAGGGGGGGAAGAGAAAGAAGGAGATGATGCATCAAAGATATTATTTGCATAATATATTGATCCTACTATTTAACTGTCTTGAAAATGAATCCTTGAAAACTCCCTTCCTTTCTTTAATGCTTTTACAATACTCCATAAATTTTATTTCAACATAGCATGTAGTGGAACTTCCTCCCTTATTACCTCCATATCTCATTACTTTACAAAGCAAAATATAGCTTCTATCTACTTCTGCGTTCTTTGTCTTTCACAATATTTTCTTACACAAGAACTTCATCACTTGAAAGCAACATTTATTGATCAGCTCTTATCTTAGATAATAAGTTACCTTTTTGTAACTAACTAAACATTCTCCTACTGAATCATCACCTTATTTCTATTCAGTTTGTTACTAAATTGTTGGAATATGCCAAATGTTCAGCTTACTTTTTTTTCTCTTCTTTCCATGAAATTTTAGATTCAACTCTGAAAAATCTTAATCAGCTCTTAATGCTTATGGAATTTTGATATAAAAATTTTAAAAAATTATAGAAATTAAAAAAGGAAGTAGACTTTTGATGAATAATTGCCACTAAACATTTTATTCATTTAACTTTTCTTAATTTATAATCATCCTACAAATTTGAATAGATGTATTAAATTTTCCAGTAGTCTTTCATATTCATAAAAATATATCACCTTCAATCAATGACATTAATTTCAATTCAGTCCTTCCTTTCAATTTTACTTGATAAATAATATCAAAATTGCTTATTTTTTATTCTTCATTTTTTATTTTATTCATTATTTAACTAATAAAATTTTATTAAAAGACACAGCATCACTTTCCTCCTTGTAGAAAGGAAGCCTGTCTCAAATTATTTCAAAATGCATGCTGCATTTCTCTGAAATTAACACCAGTCTACAACAAAATAATTAAATTTACATATACATAATGATGATATAAACAACAGAGTTATTTAATTTGAAGGAAGTATAATTTTTAATTATAAATAAAATGCTCCCTTTTACAACTCATGAAACTGCAAAGTTCATTTCAGTACCCCTCCCCAAAAAACTCATTTATTCAGCATATAATAATTTATAGCACAAAAAATGACACATACACACAATACTGTATTTTTAATATAATATAATTTTTATATACTTATTAATTTAAAACACGAAAAGTGTAATATATTGTTATAAATGTATGCATACATTTATATCTTTTACAATAAATTTATGCAAACTTATAAATTTATAATAATGTAAAAGGTAGTATATAATAGTATTTAATATTTAAGTACATTTCCATTATGCATCTAACAGGCATTCTGATAATCATCAGCTGACAAAATTGCGCCAAAAAGCATGGCAGGAGCAAAACGGAAAAGTACCAATATTTATAATCTTTATGAACTTATTTAAACACATTTTGCTTTTACATTTGTTTTATATAAAGAAAATTATTTTATTACGTTTAATAACTATGATATATTATGTTTTTTAATAATTTACAGCTTGTTAATAACTTAAATAAAACTGAATAAATCAGATTTTGAAATGTCATCATATTTCGTACGCACCTCGAAAATGTTACTGTTTTCATTACTTCGAATTTCATACCTTGGCAAAACATAAACTGTTACCCCTTCACATACCAGACATATTTATTGCAAGCTTTGTGGGGGAAGAAAAAAAAAATGTGCATAGCTACGTCTTGATTATCTGAATTAAATGAAACAGATGCAAAAATCTCCATATAGTGTTAATTTATAATACAATAGTATAGTAAGATTTTCGAATTTTGTTTTATATATTATTATTTTTTCATAAGGAAAAATTTTGCGCTGAAGATTTACTACAAAACATGATTAATAAATCGGCAGACGTTTATCTATTGCACCGACTGTTTTTACATCTAGATGAAGCAATAGCAAACGATTTTCATCTTTCGCTTTTCCTACTATTGCACAGTAAAATCGCTATCTTCAAAACAAACGCAGACATTTTAACCTCGTCAAGAGCACATACTGATATCTTAATAACTCACAATAAAGATGCGTATTTATTTGGTGACTATTGACGTTTAGTAACTATTTACCCAAAACATTTTGGGTTTTATGGGTCGTTGTATCAAAAGTCCAAAAGACAGATGCTGGCCTTGATTTTATAAATTCTTTTTTTTTTTTTTAAATTTCATCTTACGATTTCTTTGCCAATATTTCAGTCTCTTATGGCTGTTTAAGATGATATTCTACAGATGGATAAGGGAAAGAAAGAACGACCCATTTCATCAATATTCGTGTTACAATCCTCCAAAAATTAAAATTTATTACATGATAATACAAATTGTTTCTGTAGTTAAATACTTTTCAGAATGCCACACAATCCATTTACATCGATTTGATTGAGTTTTTAAATATTTATTTTTGAAGCAATTTCAAATTGAAATAAAGTGTTTAGAAGTAGAACTTAAGATTTTAGAGCGTTAACTTTTCAATATGTGATAAGCAATTATAGAAGCAAAATATAAAAATGTTTTAAAATTTGTAGAATGATAAAAATCTCCCTTACTTGATAATTATAATTTATTAAAATTAATTGTTGTTTCCTTGAGGTGCTGCTATCTAAATTTTCAAACTACAAGATTTTTTAATATTTTGGTTTTAAAAAATTCAATGTATGTAATCACTTAAAGCTAGTCATACTTTGGAATGTAATGAGGACATCATATTTTGAAACCTGACAAACTCGAGGATTAGGTGATAACATATGGCAAATATATGGTCAACTCTGGTGGCCAACTTGAATGCGGCTTCATTAGTGCCAAACCTCGATCTTTACTATCTTCTTAACATGGCACCATTTGAAATTTGCACGTCATACAATGAGCGATTAAATGCGTCAAGATTGGCAACTAAATGCAATGCAATGCCACTTTAACAAGAAAATATCCGTTATTTATACAGAACTTTATCCGAGATAAAAAATGCATGTTAACGATAGATCGTGAATATTACTTTTGTAGATGGAGGGGGGGACTTTCTCTGTGCAATAGAACCTTATAACCTGATCAAAATGTGGCAACTAAAATGTTATTTTTAGAAGTTAGCTACTAGTTAATTATATGGCACAAAAGCATCTTTATGTTTAATTATTAAGACAGGTAAATTCAATATGGGAAAACAATCAGCATTCATGAGAGAATAATTCAGTCATCAGAATGGCATGTAGCCCAGCAAACAAGGCCCTTCCACATTACATAATAAAATAAAATATTTTCTTAACCGACACTCTATTATTCAGTAATATCAAAATAACAGCACTTTTGAAGGTCTAAACTTAAATCTGAAACTTTAGGCCTACGAGATTTAAAAAGAAAATATGTAATGGGCTAATAAACTGAAGACTCACAATTTGTTAAGCATTTGTGCTATGTTTTGGTTGCCAAATGTAACAGGCCTCACCAAACCAATGAAACAATAAATTACCCAGAATTATAAAAATGAATTACTGATTCTTTTTTATGCATCAATGTGTAAATTTTGAAGGCACAATCAATGATTTTCAGAAATAATTCACAAAGACGTCCTTTTATTTTGTCTCTCGTTTGGATAAATGTCAAGAACTGTCTACATTAGCATAATTGTGGCCTATAATCATATTCATAGATAACGAGCACAGTGACAAAGATTTTAAAACATGCCCGGCACCCTTTGCCGACATCTTGGATTTGGTCAATGTTAAGGGATAAATAACTCAAAAGTTTCCATTGAACCAAAGGTTAAGTTTTATATTAAACACACAAAGAAAAAGATTTAAAAATAATATGAAAGATTTGGCTCAACAACCTGTTCTCAAAGAGTAAAATTTGTTCAAAATTAAAAAGTAAATAAATAAATAAATAAAAATAAACAAACAGGACATAGCAAACCAAGCTAGCATAAATGTAAACATAAATTATGTTTGGAAAAATATGCGTCTCATCTTTTTCATAACCATTATAGTTTTGATTAAGATGATGGAAAAAAGAAAGTTTGTATGTGTCTCTTTTACAGTAGAAGACAACTTGTTCTAAACCTGCAGGATGAGGATTTCGAATAACTGCTAGGCTCACATGGAGAAAAAGTGACTAACGAAGATCTGATACACCTCGAACAGTGAGAGAGAGGAGGATCAGCGTGCCTCAGTTAGAGGGTTCAACACAAAAGCAATGGCAATTAGTTTTTCAAGTTTAAAAAAGGCCTCACATTTTTTTCAAACCAAGTCTATGCATGATGTCGCACACTACTATCATCTTATTCATGACAAAAGAAAAAGGAAACTTGTTTATACACTTATTTTCTTAGGAAAGAACTTCAGAAATCGATGTTGCTAGCCCATCTAACATGCCAACTCCTTTCACCTCTCACACAACCTCTTCATGACAAATGTCTTATTTACTTGCAAGATGAGTCTTCAAAGGACGAGTCAATCGTTGACTCACTCCCACCA